GAGATTTCGTGAGCGGAGGAGGGGGTCCAGCAAGGCATTGGAGCGGGGAATGACATACACAATTTCCTGCCAATATTTTCGCTGACGAAGCTCTCTTCACACGCCGAGACGTGAGGTACATGCGAATTACTACTTTGCTTGCCGCCAAGCCATACTCGCTCGTGAGCCCGCGGCACTCCCGGGGCGTGCAATTTTTTTGTTGTTAAAATATACACACGACCGAGAAAAAATATTCCTTCTTCTTTTTCTTCTTCTCATTTTGCTCCGGGGGCGGGGGCACCCTCTTGCGGCCGGGTAGCCGCGGGGTTTGGTTGGAAGGGGGAGGAGACGAGAGTTCCATCTCACGCGCAGATCCTTGGGATCAAATTAAACGAAAATATTTTCGATAATCTCATTTGAAAGTTAAAGAAACGCGGCGTTTTTAAAAGTCGCCCGGCACGACGCGGTGAGCCGGGGTGGGGTGGGGGGCGTGAGTATTCATGAGTGCGGGACGTGACTCGACAAGCGAGGCAGGAGCCGTGTCGGACAATTTAACCGCCTTTGTGAGCGGTTGGTCGAGATTGTCACTCCCCACGGAGTACGATATCTGCTGTACGCGAGCTTCAAATCTCTTTTTGCTTGAACTGGATCATTTTGGCAGATGCTCTCCGAATTAGTGTGTGGATAATTGCTACGACGAAAGTAAGTTTTCAGCGTACACAAAACATTTTTTTTCATATTTTTGAACTTAAATATGTTCAAGACCGTGTGACCGTGAAAAAACCTCCAAAATGCACATCTCTACTCAAATTGCAAGATAGGGAACTTCGCAAGCTGAGGATTAAGAGGAATTACGTTTTTTAAAGTCAGCAGTAAATGTTATCATTTATTAGTGTGTTGTTGAGAATTGTCAAACCTGGCATCGCTTGGCTGCTTAACGCAATTAACTATACTTGAACTTCCATGTTCGCCACCCAGGGGTGACGCAACGACTGGTTGAGTAATTGTATCACTTTCGCTATTCCCTGGCTGGGATAATATGGGATCTGGTTCAGACGGGAATGCTTTGTGGATTTAATTTAGCCGATCATTACAACCAAGGTTCTTACACACGTTGCAAGTGCAGAAATCTAAGAATTTTTCGCCCTTCTAAAATTCCTTGGCGACAAGCAAGTTTGAAACTTGAATTCGTGGTCTTAGACTTGGATTTAGGAAGCCATTGTGTTGACTCTTATACCGCGTGGGAGGCGTACGCTACTTTTACTGGGAACATGAAAACAATTTGTAACTTAAAGAACATGCGATTATGTTCTTTTTAATTTTAAATCTCCAAATTTTCTCATGGTTAATTCTAATTCACCAAAGTTCAAGTGGTCAGAGTCCGAATGATTTTAAGAACTTACGACAGAAAGATACTTTCACCTTCTTGATAAGATTTCCAGTATCATGTCGGAACCATAAGGATGATATTACTCACTAGAGTAATATTTTATCGTATTAAAAAATAAAGATACGCGATGTGTTTGTGTATGTGCCGTTAAATCAGATAAGTTGCAAACGTCACTAAATCGCTGAGCGCTACTGATCAGAACTAATGAGGAACAGCGGCAAACAATCGTTAGGACGTGGGTTGGAATCGTAGAGACGACGTGCTTATTTTGAAAGTATTGAATTGAATTGAATTTGCCTTATTTTACGTGGCGAGACTCGGGCCATCAGGCCCGCTCTTCCGTCTGACCACGCAAATTTTGCTACGCTCCTTTCACCAACTAGGAGAGAAAGGAGGTATTTCTTGGGCGAGAAACAGGCGATTTAAATTTAGCTCAGAGGCGTCATTTAGGCTTGATCTTTTACCTGCAAGTAAATCTACGAACATGGGACAGCCGGCTTTACTTCCCCTCCGAAGGAAGGCGTACGAAGGATTTTTTCGCCCTTAAAATCGGGCCCTTAAAATCGGGCCCTTAAAATCGGGCCCTTAAAATCGGCTTCGATCGCGTTTGAACCCGCCAACTTGGGTACAACAGTCCAGTGCGCTAACCGTTACACCATCGCCGCCGCTAAAGTATCGCGGGAGTTTACGTTTGCGCATTCCTTTTAAACACATCAACCATAGTTCGTCATGCCATAATTCTACAGAAACATTAAATATCACATATCGTAACGAACATCCGGTTAATAAAAAGAAGCGCCAAATATAACCGTGCTTCTTAATTACGGATTCCAATTGTCATAAAATGACTTAAAGCAATAATGCATGAAAGCCACGCTTTCTACATACGGCGGAAAGAGCCCCATTGTGTATGCCAACCGGCAGGAGACTTTCAACTTGTGATTGTGGCCAGTTGATATAGTCCATCGAATACAAACCACAAATATAATATTAAATCATACCAGCTGAAATGCCTCAGCAATCTGTACAGTGTCTCTTAGCGGAAAGTCGTAGGGTTTGAGTGGTTACGATGTTATTAGGTGTATTTTTGTTACTAGCTACATAGTTATTTCGAATTCAGCCAATGTTTGAAGAAACTCAACCTCCTCGTTGGTTTTAGGTGTTTATTTTGTATCGATACCAGACGAATGCCGGAGCAATGTCTTAACCAACAGGCAACTGAGCGATTGCGATCTTTCCTTCCTCATCTTTGTCTTATTCTCCCTCTTACTCAGAGCCACTCACGTACAAGCCCTACACTACCATCAACACATCACAGGAGACCATTCGGAAGCATAAAAGGTCGTTCCTGGTTGGGGCGGTGGCGCGCCGGGGGAGATACTTGACGGAGATATCTCGACGCCGGATTTCACAGTTCAGCGAGGAAGAAACACCGCCACCTCGATGTACAACATGCACTTCGCTTATGGTACTGATGATCGTAGCAGTCAACGAACCAGGAAACACTAAATAATAATGATTTAAAGCATAATCGTCCAGGATAGGAAAGCCTAGGATCATTCACGTGTTCTTGGACCGCAACCTTTCTTTAGGGATATGCAGGGGCACCCGGAGAAAACCAGGGGCCTGGGGCAGTTGAACCATGGGCACCCCTCATTTCAAACATAAAATTCCCTTCTCCTATAATTCATAAACATAATTCATTTTTCCATGTATCAGAAATAACTTGTAGCGTTAAATTTCGATTAGAGATACATTTTTGTTGTATTTCTTATGACGGGAAAAAATTCGGGGCGCCAATTAGGTGGGGACAAGATGTCCCTCTGCCCCTTCTGGTCACCTCTGGGGAGATGACACTAGCAAAAGGAACGCCAGGCGAGCGCACGGGCGCCCGAGAAATCCATCGCGATCGGACGCGTCAAGGGGAAGAAGTCCTCTGCCGCTGGCGGGGGGGGGGGGGCGTGGTCCGCCGCGCGTCCGTCTGGGCGACGGCCCGTTGACGGACGAGGCGCGCTTTGTGGTGCAGATGGCGGCGCGTGCGCCCGAGCGACCCGCAACACCTCGCCCCCTGCGCCTGACTCCCGACCCCGCCCTCCGCCCCCGCCCCGCCCCGGCCCCGCCCGCCCGCGGCCCCCGCCGCCGCCTCCGCCCCGCCTCCTGCCCGCCAATCGCCGCCCGCTTCCCGCCCCGCCGCGCCCCGCCTCGCCTTCGCCCCGCCCCGCTCTGGCCCCGCCCCTCCTGCCCCGCCTGCCTTGCCCCGTCTCCTGCCCCGTCTCCTGCCAGCCGTCTCCTGCCCGTCTCCTGCCCCGTCTCCTGCCCCGTCTCCTGCCGCGCGTCTCCTGCCCGTCTCCTTGCCGCGTCTCCTGCCCCCGTCTCCTGCCCGTCTCTCCTGCCGCGTCTCCTGCCCCGTCTCCTGCCCCGTTCCTACCGCGCCTGGCCTGCCCGCCTCCTGCCCCGCCTCCTGTCCCGCCTCCTGCCCTGCCTGCCCTGCGCCTGCCCCTGCCACGCCCCTGCCCAAGCCCGCCCCGCCTAAACTGCCCTGCTCCTGCCTCGCCACCGTCTCGCCCGCCTCCTTCCCCGCCCCGCCTCCTTCCCCCGCGCCCCGCCTCCTCCGCACCCCGCCTCCTCCCGCCCCGCCCCACATCCACCCCGCCAGCCGCCTCCTCCCCGCCCCGCCTCCGCCAGCGCACTCGCCCCTCTAGCCCTGGTCCTTTTCCGTCCGCCCCACCGCCTTCTCACCGCAATCGTGCCTGCGCCCGTCGCCACATCCCCGCCCCGCACCGCGCCCGCGCCTCGCATCCCGCATTGCGCACCCCGCCTGAACCCCGCTCGCCGCATGCCGCGCCCCGCACCCGCGCCCCGCACCCCGCCCGCACCCGCCCCGCACCCCGCCCCGCACCCGCCCGCACCGCCGCCCCGGCACCCCGCCCCGCACCCGCGCCCCCGCACCCGCCGCACCCCGCCGCGCACCACGCCCCGCACCCCGCCCCGCGTCTCGTCTCGCACCAGCCCGTCCCTTTGTGGCGCGCGGCGTCGCGTCGCCTCGCGGACGGTGCAAGGCGACGGGCCCCGCGCCGCTACGAGAAGCCCGCCGCCTCGCGCT